GGGGATGAGCGGCCCTCACGTAATCACAGATGAGGAGAACCAGGCTCAATGGCGATGAACGGAGGCTTGATTGGGGGTCAGGTTTTGGACATCATTGACGTTGAGACTCGGTGGTGTTGTGGCCGAGAATGAGCTCAAGGCTGTGATAGCCCCAATTAGATCGGGCTGTGAACATCATGGGTCTGCAATTTGGAACGTATCACCGACTATTAATCACCACATACTTGACTCGGACCAAACGGATTGAACCAGAAAAAGAGGTCACTTATACGGTGCCCTTGTCTGTATTAGATGTGTATGTACTCATAAGCCCTCACAAAACTCCTAGACGCTTGATTTCCAAAAAACCTCATTATCAAAAAGACAATCACGCACGGCACATGCGGCCATCAGCAGCAACATTCCACTTGTCGCTACCGACCGTCTTGAGCGCGTAAAACACGCCCGAGGGGTCCCACTTGGTCTTGATGGTGAGCAACTTGTCATAGTTGCCGCCAAAGAACTTCTCCTTCCAGTCGGGGATGTTGAAGTCGGCCTCGTTGACGTAGTTTCCGGACCCGGGCGTCGCGGCCTCGATGGGCGGGATGATTTCTTCCGTCATGGTCTTCTGGTCCGCCTTCATCTTCTCCCAGTCGGCCGGGTCGTTGCTCCACGCCGTCGAGTACTGCACGTGGATGGCAGCCTTGCGGAAGTGCGGGTTCACGGCGTTGTCGACGCCCGCGGGCGCCGTGGCGTTGAGGGCCACGCCGGCGGAGAGGACACCGTGGTTGTCGGCGCCGTAGCGGATGGCTGAGACGTAGGCCGCGCGGGCGGTGGTGTCTGTGAGGACGGAGCGGGGCACGAGGCGGGAGCCAAAGTTGTAGGACTCGACCTCGACGTGGCCGTAGGGGAGGGGACCCATCCACTTGTCGTAGTGGTCGCGGTAGCTCGAGTAGTTTGTGGCGGCGGAAGAGTAGGGGATGGAGAGGTTGGCGAGGACGTCGAGGAAGGGCTGGAGGATGGTCTTTGCCTCCTCGGCCGTCTTGTTGTAGGCCGTGAGAGGGTTGATGGCAAAGACGCTGCTGCTGTAGAGGAAGACGACCATGGCGCCCTGGTCGGTCATGCCGGGGAGGAGGGAGTGGAAGGCGTCGAGCATCTGCCACCACTTCTCTTGGGTGGTGTAGGAAGCAGCAGTCTGGAGACCAACGCCGCCGATGGTGGCGTCGGGGTATGCGCGGACGGTGACGGCGGTAACGACGCCGAAGGTTCCGGGGCCGCCGCCACTGAGGGCCCAGAAGAGGTCCGCGTTCTCCGTGCGGGAGGCGGTGACGATCTTGCCGTCGGCGGTGACGACCTCGTACTCGAGCGCCTGGTCGGCGGCCATACCAAAGTTGGTGGTGAGGGCCGAGTGGCCACCGCCCTGGATGTAGCCTCCGGCGGGACCGACGGTGGGACATTCGCCGCCGACGACGACGAGGCCGGCGGTCTTGCCGGCCTCGGTGAGTTCATAGCCGAGAACGCCGGCGCCCATCTTGATTGCGGGGCCGGACCAGAGGTCATCGGACCAAGTGGTCACGGTGATCTCCTTGAGTTTGTGGGTCCATGCCGCGAGGGCTCCGGCACCGGTTGAGCGGCCAAGATGGCTGAGTCGTTGGTTAGCGATAATGCTTCGTGGGCGGGATGGCGCTTATAGGTGCGGATGAGACTTACTCATGACCCGTGTTGCGGACGAGGAATCTGATGTTGTTCTCCCGCGCAAAGTTGATGGTCTCGACAACATCTTGGGCAGATGTCACCTCGACAGCATAGTTGACGTAGTTTCCGAGCAGACACGGAAGCGTGCGATCCGTGAAGGGGTCGCAGGACTGATTGGCGAAATAGCTCTGCATCACGGAAGAGGAGGAGGGGAAGCTGGGCGTGTGGTTAGTCTATATTCCGCATAACTTGAGAGATCAAGCATAAGCTTACTGAGTCTCGGGAAGAGTCCACGAATTTTGCAGCGCCGTGCAGGCGGCCTCATCGTAGTTGGGGTCGTGACACACGGAGCCAATGGGCACGGTGGCGATGAGCTTGCCGCTGACAGTGGTGTTGAGGGTATCCCAAGCCGTCGTAGCGGGCCAGCTGGCGTCGCCGGGGAGGGAGCGGCACGTAGCATTCTCAACGCGCTTGGGGAGAAGGCCCGCGGCAGCGAAGGGCGCGGCGGCCAGGGTCGCCGCTGCGATGACGGCGGAGGACTTCATCTTGACAGGGCTGAAGAGAGAAAGGAGCGGAACGGAGGAAAGTCTTGGAGCCTTGAAGAAGGGGACGGGAAGGGGATGACCGACCCGAGGGGGGATATTAAAGAATGACTAGGCTGCAGGGAAGACTCCTGACGAGTTCATCAAGTGGGAGGGCCTTGATGGAGAGTCTTTATATTGAGGAGAAGCAAACTGCATTGGAGAATCGAGAGACAGGTCGTGAATGACCAGGGATCTGTTTACGGCGCGACGGCGAGCTTTCCTGGCCCTGCTAGGCGGGCTGTGTTGCTTGAGGCATGGTGCTTGAACATGGTGCTTGAACATGGTGCTTGAGGCATGGGGGCGGATAATGGATGTCAATCTCCCTTCTCGACTGGGTACTGTGTGAGGAGCAGCGTGAGTGTGTGTCGAGAGTCGAGGAGTCGAGAGTTCTCCTCCTCCCACGACACGCCGGGGGCCCGTTGCTGGGATTATCCCCCTTTGGGCAGCATACTCCGGGATAGTGTGGTGGCTACGGGGTAGATGCGGAGCCCCCCCTTCAGCCTTTGCTCTCTCTTTTGCCCTCTCTTTCGCAGAGTCTCTCACAGACTCACACACACTCTCTCCTTGATTCCATGAGGCTTGAAGCGAGGCATGGACCAGGGCAGTTGTGTGCCATCCACACCTTGCACTTACTTCTCGTCCGCTCTTCTGCTTTGACCACGGGGATCGACACGAGGTTCTGTTGCGTAGGACAAGAAGAATTGGCAACCGTCCGGGAGTCCTCCGAAGCCGAAGAAAGAAGACGGGGGCTTAGATGTCAGAAAAGGAAATTGAGACGTGCGTAATCTGTCGTTCGATTGCGGCAGGCTTCTGGAAGGGGATGTGGAAGAAAGTTGACGAAGTATTGACTTTTGCATGAAATTCGAATCTCGCAAACTGCCGGGGGTGCTGGTCAAAGCGGCTGGAATGGGATGAACAAACAGGATGACAGCACAAACCGCTTACTCTGGCACTTCTCAACTCTACACACAAACTCAGTGTGAATGCGAAGTGATTGCGACCAAGTGCGAGGAACCTAATCAACGGGTCAACGTATCCGTATGGGCCTCACCCCCCTGTTGGCGCTAGGTGTTGTGAACTCGTGGAGTTTGCCTCGGCCCCGATGATCAGTGTTCCCCTACTGGATCAGTCGAGGTCCGACGGAGAACCCAAGAAGCCCCTGTATTTCCCCTTGATCTGGGATCCTTCGCGCCTGCAATCCGGGTCTCCATGCCCTCTTGCGCGTGCTCGTTCTCTCTGTTCCTGCAGCACAGGCCCTGATGCCGGTTCCGTTACTACATCACTGGCGGACAATTGGACGATGGGGGCCGTCGCGTGTCCTTGACGTTGGGTGGAAGTTGGGATCAACGGGAAGGGCTGATGGGACCTGTTCTTTTTCTGCCCTACGCTGATTGAGTACGGATGAACGCCCGCTGATTCGTATAAACACTGACACGAATGAAATTTTGGTGATGTCTGTGTTGACTTGACTCGCTAGGTTGAGAACGCCGTCTATTTTGAGTTGAAAGAACAAAGCGTCAGCTAAGACATGCATACATAGCAAGCGCTCCGAGTGTGCCAGTGTGGGGGACTGACGGCATTCATCGATCAAGAAATCTCTTGTCGTCTTTCCTTCTTTTTCCAATGGTTGGATGGACTTGTTCCCTCTTTGGGAAAAGGCAGACACACCATTCTGCGAAAACCAACAACAACCGAGTTCCAACAAACTAAATAAGATCGAATCTGCCGGAGCAGAAAACAATAGTTTGCCGCCTCTCCCGTGAGGAACCACGCCACACAACCGCATGAGGTAGCAAACACAGAAACGCCGTTACGGCAGCCATTCGTTTTTGTCTAAAACGCAGTTTCTCCGTGGTGTCCGCTCAATAGCATCAGCCACTAGCGCCGCCGTTGTGTTTCCCATCAGGATTTAGGTGCGGCGTTTGTGGCCAGTTCAAGCTTCTCAACGGCCCTCTCCCGCGAAGACCAAAGTTTAGTTCTCTTAGCCAGACCGTCCCAACGTTCCAAGGGGGCCCGCGATGTCACTCACTAGCCTCGGAGGCAAAGGACGGAAAAGACGCAAAGGTAAGGGGGGTATTTTGGCAGGCTGGCACGTTGTGCCAACGTCGCATGTGGCGACATCGAACCATGCGCCCATAAAACTTCGGCGATGTATTCCAAAGAAGTCTCTGATGTAGGTCGTCGAGTCCAACATCCAACGTCCAACAGCCCCGCAAAGGCTCAGTGAGAGGGGGCAGTTGGGGGGATCCAACCGCAACCCTATGCGAAGCAGCGAATCTCTTAGCTTCGGAAGAGTGCCGAACCTGGCATCTTCCCGCTGCGCCTCTGAACGTTGCAGAAGAACAACAGCCAGCATGCCAGCAGCTCGAATCCAGTCTTACCTCTCTTCTTCTTTTTTTCTCTTTCGGCGTTTTTGTTTGCTTACGGAATACCAATACCTTGCTTGCCATCACGCCAACATGTTCTGCAATTCCACTTTGGCGCCAACACGTGCTGGTGCCAACGGGGTGAGGGGCCGGGAGGCGAACCGGTGGATTCGGATGGGGATGTCTGCGCCGGGATCATCTCGGGGATCAAGTCTTCTTTCGAAGCTCGTGCGCAACGTTAGTTTGCTGGAGTCTTCAAAAGACAATAGAGGAGTAGTATAGACTAGTACGGGGAGAGCCTAGGAGGCTGACGCAACTTCCTCCCATGTCTATCCGAACATGTGTCTATATTCCGATGGTGGAGGCCTTTTTATCTATGGATACGTCCTATGCTCCTTTTGCTCTGTTCTTCTGTCTCCTTCGGGAAGGAAGATGTGCGGCTCTGCCTATTGTCGTCCTCCTCAATCCGTATCTTGCAGCTATTGTCCGTCGCCATGGCCCGGGTCTATCGGTGTTTGCCAAGTCTCTAGACTGTGTTGCATTGCAGGACAATCCACAGATCCCGGAGAGGCCTGGCGGTGGCAATCATTCTCACGTGGACAAATCTCCAGATTCCGAGGTCGTGTTCACTGAATGCTACTTTGAGGAATACGCGGTCCACGACCGAGTAGGCTAGCGCGCCACCGACCCGGAGAGATACATAACGGCTGAGGCTTATCACGATGCCGCTGCCGGCTGTCAGCTGTCACTGTTTACTTGGGCAGGGTCGGCCGCCGGCAGCGAGTTTGTCCCCGGCGACGAGACCCCAATTCAGATGTGGTTGCCGGTGGATGAACCCTGAGAACGTCTCAGGTACGTCTTCGCTGTCGGTGAACTGCCATGTCCGAATGGAAACGATATGCCGGACTCGGGACTCAGTGTATGTTTTCTCTTGCGGCATTAAACTTTTGCAAAGGAGGCGCAGAGTGGTTTGAGAGTTAGGGATAGACTTGGCGTGAGTTTTATTGAAAACACAGTGGTTCCCAGGCACTGCCTGGAGTTTAAGTGAGTCTAGATATGCCGTTTCTTTATACCTATCTTCTGTTTTATTCATTAGGACTTGAGACAGTGGACGATGAGCAGCCGGGGTCCTCCTGATGCACGAGGAATACTGGGGGATAATACGCACTCATTGCCTGAATCACTGGATACCCAGCAGCCCGCCTCCGCATACCTTATGAGGAGTCTACTGTCATCCCATTCTAACAACAAGTATCGGGTCTGATGACCAAGGGATGAATGTCGTGAAGTCTTGACTAGTCCGTGATGTTCTGGTGCTATTTGGGCTCCGGTGTTTGACCCTCGGTCGGCTCCTGTTGTTATTGACTTTTTGAATTCTGTCAAGATGTCCAATTGAACCTCTCCTGTTGCGTGAAGCACTTGAGGTAACGTGGTAGATTCTCGTCAGTAGCTGAATGTCACTCATCACTTGATGAGCTAGTTGCATGTAGCAGTCGCTTGGCATAGTCGTGCTCGGCACGGCCAATGCTACCCAAGGCAAGCTAAGGAAATTCTCAAGATCGTGACACACTTGGTGGCGGGTGCCTCTGCAACGCTACCTCATCTTTGCCATTTGCGGGGTTGAACGCATCTCATTGAACGCCCAGCAGCCGCCGCTCTCGTCCCAAGTAGCCCCTTCAGATTCTTCCACGATGTAGGGGGGAAATCATTGATGGATACTCGAATGAGGTCAGATTGAGCGAGACTTGAGGGCTTATGAGAATTCGTATACGACTCCTTCTGCATACTCCTCAGCCATATGCCTCTAGATCCTCTAGTGACAGGAGAACAAGAGAATTGACCCCAGTACCTCACTCCTCCTTCTCAGGCCATCCATTACTGTACCTCCCGATCCTTCCCGCACGGATTCAGATCGACATGAAGACTTTATGCTTCCAAAAATGTCTTCCGATCGTTTGCCTGTGAGTGCAAGGGGCTTCTATTCGGGTACGTGTTTGTGCAGCCTGCGTGCCGTGCCGCTCATTGCCAAGTCCCTTTACCACAACCCTACACTGGATACTCCCAACGATCTAGGAAAGACTTGCTCCCAGGCCACTAACTTGCCGACGCATTTGCACAAAACCCGCAGACGTAGAAACGTGTATCCGGGTATTCATGGTCTTTTCCACGAAAAGCAACTTATCAAGCGCGACCATGGATTAGAAAGATTCGTAGAAACATGAAAACTTGTATGCTTGCTCATCAACTTGGCTTCATTAACGATTTCAAATAAAGGCCACAAAAGGCGACCCAAGAACACGCCCACTCGAATCAATTTTGACGCCTTCTTTCCTCAACAGCATCCTCTTTTCATCAAGCGTGATCCCCTCCCCGTTCTTCGGCCACTTGCCCTTGAACCCGCCCAAAGCACCGCCCGTAGCAACGACCCGGTGACACGGCACCTGCGGCGCGAAAGGATTCCGACGCAGCGCGTTGCCGACGGCCCTCGGCGACGACTTGAGATGCGCCGCCAGAATGCCGTACGTCGTGATCTGGCCCTTTGGTACTTGGCACAGGGCGGTCCACACCCGTTTCTCGTACGCGGTGCGATTTGAGCGAGCGATGCGGTCTAGTTGTGTCTTCATGCCTTCGCCTTCTGGGATGGATATTGAGATGATGTCGCGCGTCGCGGACGTCTTCTTGGTGGTGGTGGTGGTCATGGCGATGGTGTAAGTGTGAGATGAGTGAGAGGGTGTTGCTGAAGGCGTCGTGAATTTTCGGTTTTTGCTTCTTTTGTAGAAGATTATTGCAGAGTGACGAAGTTATGTTCCTGAGAAACAAGAAGTAATTGGAATCGAGGCATTAAGACGCGTGTGAGATTGTCTTTCTGAGTCAACGGCGAAGGTTGGGTCAAATGTCAAGACAAGGGCGCGTCACAAGCGCGACGGTCCAAGCGGGGACATTTGACGCGAACTCGCGGGGTCATGTGACCTGACACTTAACCAAGGGTGAAGCACAACTTCAACATTGGACGTCAGACAACCAAGCAAAGGTGACACAACATACGTCCGTAGCGGGCTTTACTTGACGCTTTAAAGGACAAAAGCTTCAAAATCCAATTGATTTGCTCTGAGGCAATGGGCAAAGACCAAAGTACAGGTGACGGCAAAAAAGAGTTCACCCCCCGGGTGCTGATACTGGGGCTACATCTCTTGGTGCTCATGCTGGGATTCGAACTCGTGTAATCGTCTGCGCTTAGCCTGTCGTCGAGTAGGCTGGTTGGTGTAGAATTTAATTGTCGATTCACCATAAACCATTCCACCACCCAGCCAGTTTGACCTGACCCATCGACCTAGACGGGCGCCTCCTGGCTGGTGACAGGAATGGACTTGGAGGGGTATATAAAGGCTCTACTGCCGATCAGATGAAATTTTGGGCGCGTATTCGTGGACCTTGAGGGATGATACATTGAGCTCTCGAGCAATGATCTTATGTGGATTTTGCATACCATAGTATTTGTACGGGTATCGGTGACATCTAGACTTTCCAGACCTGATTCCATAGTGTACTCTTTCCCCCCAAAACGCCAGAATAAGGTAATCCAATCGTTACAAAGCTGCGATTGTGACCATACCATCGCACGCTTCAACGAGTCCTCCGCAGCAAGAGACCATCCAACAGCCCCCCCCCCCCCCTGCATCCATAACCCGAGTCTCTTAATCACCAGTATCAACCTCAAGATCCAGCTGCACACCGTTGCTGACACCATAATCCTCCAGCGTAAGATTGTCCTTGAACGGCCGCTCGCCCTGACGCTTCAGCAAGATCTCGTGCGGCTCCCGTCCGACCCGTTGCGCCACCATAATCTTGAACATCTTGACCGGGTCCGAGGCCAGACAGGGGATCGCGGCCTTGGTACCGAGGCGGTCGTTGACGTGCACGATAATCATCTCCTCGCCGCCGCCCGCAGCCGGCGCGGGTGCAGACTTTTCCTTCTTGGGCTTCGTCGGCGCATCCTTCGAGCTTGAGACGCTGGCGGTGGGTTTGTTGTCTCTGTCTCTGTCTCTATCTCTATCTCTGCCCGAGTCGCGGGGTCTGTAGTTGTCGTCTCCGCCGCCGCGGCGGTCGTTGCGGCGATCTCTGTCCGAGTCGCGATCGCGGTCGCGACGGGGGGAACGGGAACGGTTGCGGTAGCCTCGTTCCAGGCCTCTTCGTTCGTTACCGTCGTCGCGGTCGTCTCTGCGGCTCTTGTCTTTCCATCTGAAACCGCCTTGTTTCCGTGGTCTATCTCTGTCTCTGTCTCGATCACGCCGAGGCGAGCGCGATCTTGATCGTGCTCTGTCGGCCATCTCGAGTGGGTTGGTGGGTGGTTGATGGTGGAAGGTTGAAACTGCGAAACCGAAGTGGGAGCTCAGCTTGGTGCCGTGAACTGTGACCTCGCCGCTGGCTCCACCAGGTGCGGCGGGTCAGAATGGCCGCCCCGCAGAAATGATTGGATTACATAAGCCGGAAGGCCTTCTTCCTCGAAGCTTCATGGGTGTCTTTTCATCATCATCGAGGAAATCAAGGCACTTAAAATACTCTGCTTTGTATGTATGATTATTGTGGAGTTTCTTATGCCTGGGGAACTTCGACTTCTTGTATTCAGAGTCTATTCTATAGTTTGTAATGCAACCACCTAGTCCCTTTACTCGTCTAGGGCATTGGAGGAAATAGCCGTCACAAGCCTGTTTGACAGACTCTCCAGCATATCGGTGCCTTGTGAGGATGCCTCAATCTTTGATTCCTCGATTGACTCAAGAATCGTCTTGATGCCAAGACCGATCTTGTCCGACCGAGTGTCATTGCGTATGGACTGGATGACAGTCTGAATGTCGTTGCCACCAAACATTCCTGACTGGTCCAGGACTTGGGCAAGTTCGCGTACATCAGAGATGGCGGGTACCGGAATCTGTCTGCGGAAGTGCTTAAGAACACCCAAGTTGCTGAGTACGAAGCGTTCTGAGGTGGTGACCATGATGAGGATACGACGGCCCTACATTGAGTTAGTAACGATTGATCCATCTAAAAGTAGATGAGCAAGAAGAACTGAAACTGACCTTTGGTGGCTGGGTTTGGATGAGGGAAATGAGTCTGTCGAGCACCGTGTTGGAGAAGCGCGGCCCAATTGGGTTCCACTCAATGAGTTGCTCAAAGTTATCCAAAATTACGATGCTACGCTCAGACTTGTAAGCGTCGGTGAAAACCTTGGTGAGGTAGTCCTTCTTTCCAAACTCGTCTCGGAAAGCAGTCAAGTGCTGAGGCGAAATGAGCTTAACAAAGGGGAAGTCTGAAAGGGAGGCGGTGTGGGCGGCCAAAGCAGTCTTGCCTGACTCCGGGGGCCCGTGAAGAAGGACTGGTATCCTGTTGAGAACATCTGACTCCTTGACTGTGTCGATGTAGCCCTGCATCGTGCGGATAATGGCGGGGATGTTGTTGTTGAACTGGAGGATTCCCATGCCAAGGGCAAACGCCAGCTCGTCTTCAGAAACACCATAAGCCGGCTTGACCTCGGTCAGTGCGTTGTCGAAATCGTCCATGGTGATCTTCATCGCGGATACATCATTCTTCATCTTGGCGCTGTTGCCGACCTCAGTGTGACGGTTGAAGGCGAATGAAGTTGCAGCCTTGACGACACCAGAGATCTCGGCACCAGAG